CGATCGTGGGCCTTGAAGACCGCGTAATCCGAGTCGATCGTCGTCTCAGGGCCTCTGTATAGGCCTCGCCAAGGATCTCTCTGGGTCCGATTCAGGCAGGAGGGGAGAGTGCGTCGAGTACAAGCCTACAAGCTCCTAGAGCGGTCCAACAACTCCACGGAACACAGGCATGTGATTACGCGCGCGCGCGCGAGCGAATACACGCGTGCACACACACACACGTGTTGTGTGTACTACTCCGGCACGGTAGTATTACGCACGCTACCGCACGCACACAGCTTCCGCCTTACAGAGTTACAACATCGGCATGGAGACGCGCGTCGCTGGCGAAAAAAGATTCATTGAGAGTTACGGTATTATACCGTATTTATTATGGGACGCAGAGAAGCGTCCCGGAGAGATCTGTTAGAATCGTCTAACAACGTTTATATGCAATAACGTATGAATCTCACCCGCGATACTCTCGACTCTTGACTTTCAACTCTCGTTTCTTAACTGTCGATCTCGATACTTTGACCGTTAGTTATCAGAAGCTTTTTTTTTCCTGAAGAAAAAACTGCGTATATAAAAAAATAGAGAGGATCTGTAATGTTTGTAACATACTAGGATAGTATTTTCTATGATATTTTTTGAGAATGGAGTCTCTATAGTCTTGGGGTCGATTGTTATCTTGAAATGAGGTGGAAATTACAAAAGTAAATAAATTCATTAAAATATTTATAATTTCATTAATCAATATCTATTGATCTGAATTTACTTACTCTTGAAATTTTTGCTGCGTTTCAAGATACACAAACGATACCCTTGTCTTCAATTTTCAACCCTCATTTCTTCTTACTCGAATCACGACTTTCAATTTTTCTAACTTTTCAAGTTTTAAGTCTCAAATTTCAAGCTTCACGTTTCAAATATACAAGCCTGGGGAGCCTCTTATGTGATGTATCTCAAATTCAAAATACCAAATACTTTAATGTATATGTTTCCTAAATTTTTTATCATTCAGTCATACTTTATTATATCTCGTGACAAATTGCTTTTGTAAATTTTGTTAATTAATTTCATCTCATCATACATAAACAAGAAAACAAATAGAAAATTTCTAACATTCCTTCGTAATTAAACTTGTATATTCGGTGAGTTTTTTTGGCAAAAAAATTTTGCAAACATTACGTTTCAATAGAGATGTAAAAAAACCGTATTTTTGATTTCGGAAAAAAGTATCAAGTAAAAAACTAATTTTTTACTGTAAAAAACGGTATTTTCAATCAAATTACATAAAATTCAAGAAAAATCTTAGAATTCATGTTAAATATGTAGAAGAAATAAAATTCATTTTTCGTGTTATTTCAATATTTTTTATAATTTTGTCTTTATAATTTTATATCGAAGCGGAAATATATATTATTGGCTGTTGCAAGTCTTGATGTGATGATAATAGATTAATAGATCTGTTTACGTTGCTTGCATTCACTCTTTGCATTCAGCATCTGTGCCTTTTCTTATTTCAACCCCCGGATCTATTTTTCTAATAATATCACTTTAAATGCAAAAATTTTGGGAGATTTCAAGCAATGCGAACAGATCTAAAAATGATCTAAAAAAAAATATCCGAGTAAAAAATTGTCAAAGTAAAAGGAAAAAAAAAATCATTAATTTCCAAGTTTTTTACTCTAAAATTCTAGTATTTTTCCGTCGTTTACATCTCTACGCTTGAAACTTGCATTCGAAAGAATCAAGAGGATACAATAGTTCGTTAATATCATCTTTCTCTCACTCCTCTCCTTTCTCTATAAATTTGTGAATCACTTGTAGTTATGCAGGTGCGCTGTTTCGTTACATGATAATGTTCTTTCTTTCTCTCCTGTAGAGTATCTGCAATTCGCAATTGCATCACTCATTGTTCCTTGTGGAACGCACACCGGAGGTTGATACCGACGCGAATACCGTTTGCAGAAGGATCGAAGTACCGCTCTAATTTCACGTACACCTAAGCCGAGATCCGCGCCCGTTATAATCGCCGAGAGAACTTGTTCGAGACGAGGAAAAGGAAAACTTCGAACCGGTATATTTTTTTCTAGATTCCACACCGTCCGGTTCGTCACGCCGTCCTGTAAGAGACGTCTGTTCAAGGAGACAATTTCCTTTTCAGAAATGTTTACCGGAAACTTTATACTTTATTTACCTAGGATTAATTTCTTCGATAAATTGATTAAAAAAGCAATATCAATATTTATGAGTAATCTAATGTCCATGTCTGTCTGTGATGTATAAACTGAAAAATGTCAAACATATCTAAATATTGTATCATAAAGAATCAAAAGATTTTTTGTTTTTATTTTTAAGCCGCAGGACAATATTATTCACTGTTGTATTTGTAAAAGTTGTTCGTAACTATTTTCGACGAAAGAAAAAGTATTTTTATGCATAACTATGAGTAATTACAAAACTGAGTCATTCCGAAATGTAAACGACGTAGAATTTGTTAAAATAAAATTTTTTTTAAACTGATGGCTTGGCTTGTTAAAATATTTTTACAATAATCGTCATAATTTATGTATACTCAGAAAATTATTGTTCTCAATAATAGAAAACGTTGAAAGCAGAAGGAAAATTTGTGCGTGACTAGAAAAAAGAATTCGTGTTCTTACAAATCGTTCTTTAGAAATCGAACGAAATTTCGTACTGTAAGAAAAGTAATGTCAGAGGTGATCTATACAGAATACGCAAGAAAATTCTATTATAGTCAAGGAAAAGAATGTAACTCCAAGTATGCATATTTAAGACAAATTCTTCAATTGGAAAAATTTTAGAACATTTTCATGGAATATTAATATATAATGTTCTACGTGTTATGCTGATTCAGATCGATTCATGAAATAAGCGAGACGTCTATCAAATCAATCAATTAGGCGCAGAAAATTGTTAAACATTACATTACATGGCCGTTTAGATCACGATGAATTGTCCTGATGATTATTCCGTTAAAATCACCGCCACATTTATCGTAGAAAATAGCCATGGATAATCATTTCGCGCTTCAACCAATTATATCACTGAAACTGTTTATAAATGACGATTATTGCTCGATAGAGTAACGATACATTTTGTGTTGTTACATTTATTCATGTTAATAATGACACAAGCTTCAAGACACAAAGTTATATTTTACCTTTTGAGGAAGATACACTTCTTCTATATTATTATTAAATAATGTTCTTAAATTTTATTAACTTTTAATATACACTGGAGAATGAAATTTAAATTTTTTGTAACTGAAAGATTATTAATGTATATGTTAACAAAATAGGTTTATAATAACTGAAATTTAAGTATATTGAAATTTAACATGTTTATGTTTCTTACATTTCATTAATGTGTAAATTAATTTCTGTACATTATTTTATTCTATACATTTATTTATAATATCTATAATATTTTGTTATTTTTGCATTTTAATAAAAAGAGAATATTATAAACGTGTAAAGTTATGTAGATATTTATAATTATATATTTTTGAATTATTCAAAAACTTCTATTCTTCTTCAAAACGATCTTCCGAAAAATAATTAAATTAAATAATGTAAAAAGACACTAAATGATTAATTATCAATTCAGTTAATAGATTAATTATTTGAACTTGTTTACTGAAGTTTTGCAAGTAGAAGTAAAATTATAAAACTTCTGATTGGTCACTCTATCATGAAAATATTAAATCAATATAGATCAAGAACAAAGTTTAAGTTTTATGCAATAAACAACACGTTGTAATCAATTAATGGCTAACCGGCGATAACCTGCTGTCACAATGTCATGACCTAAATTCCCCTCATCATGTCTTAGAAATCTAGCAATTCAAGCAATTTTTAATCTTAGAGTGATATTCATAATCCATTCTTATTTTAAGACTATCTTAAGTAATGTCTTAAGATGTTAATTTGTTTGTGTGTGGCTCTAACCGGTATTCATAGTCAATTTTTATATTTGAGACTGTCTAAGTACATTTTTAAAATGTCATAAACCAATCAGAGGGCTATGTATTAACATCTTAGGATATTCAGACATTACTTAAGATGATCTTGAAATAAGCACCAACTATGAATACTAGTCATAGACTATGATCAGTATTCATAGTTAATTCTTATAATAAATTCACTTGCACAACACTGGATCAGTATATTAAAAGCTGCTTTATATAAAATACTTTTTTTATATAAAATACCTCAATGCAGTAATATAATATAATCAACTTTGACAATGAAATGATGCATGTATATTTTGTTAAATAATGTGACAATATCGTTAGTAGATAATTAATCGTTTAAAATATTTATATACTTTTACATGTAACTTTGCTAATTTTATGTAAAGCAGTTTTTAGTATGCATTAATCTAGTGTAGTGTAAAATAACCGAATTCGCTATTATAGATCAATCATAGATTCAAGATCATCTTAAGTTCAGTCTTGAGATATCACGGACTTATCAAAGAGCCACATTAGCATCTCAAGACATTACTTGAGACAGTCTTGAAATAAGAACCGACTATGAATACCAGCCTATGAATATCGCCTTCTATTAATTTAAAATATCTTAAGACTATACTTAATACGATCTCAAATATAAACTCCGACTACGAATACCGATTATATTCGTTTTCCTACAAGCGCTGCCTGTTTTGGTATAATGAATAAAATCATGTGGCACTTCGTCAAACAGGTTCCTAATTGGATTTCGATTAAATACGACCTATTTCGCACGGATCAATCACGATTTTTCTCGGCAAGTAGGAAATCAGCTTGTATACGGCTACCGGCTCTCGCGAGCGAAACTCGTTCCGGTTGCTCGTTCGCAGATTTCGCAATTTTGGATTCCACGAGCGTACGGCCGCGCGGAGTCAGCTTGACCCGAAGAACGATCGATCGGCGGGATACGAACATGCGAGCCAATAACCGCATGCAATCATAGTAATCAGCTACATACATTACGCGCGGTAATACACACCTTCCTGCCTTGTGAGCGCGTGTGCGAGTTATCCGAAATCTGAGCGGCGGCTCTTCGATCGGTACCAGGGAACGAACCACCTTGGCACCGTGAATCACCAGAAAAATCCACAAGAAAAAAAGGCCAAACGCACTTCGAAATTTCTCTCCCGTACACTCGCGCACAGTTTCCTGCGGAAATTTTTCTCCTTTTCTCCCGATATATTCGAATGTACTCTGAAAGAGCAAACGCACATCAGCGGCGCGTGCGTACACGCTTCGCTCTACGTCCGTTGAAGAATTCGCGTTCCTCTCTTTCCGCGTGAACCCGGCGTGAATCAAACCGAGATCTGCGCCAATCTGCGCCAATGCCTCAGCTCAGCGGCCACGGACTTGCTCCTCGTTCACTTCAGGCCGCTTCATGTGCAGCCCTTCTCTTTACTTTACTCGCCCTCGACGTTCTTTCCCCCTCCAACGCCAGACGTGTTCCCCACCCCATCAAAAAACAGCTTCCCCCACTTTACTGCCTGGCGAACGAGTTTCCTTCTCCTCTCCGCCTGGCGAACGAGTTTCCCCACTCCATGTGGCAAACACGTTTCATCGTATCTGCTTGTGACATACGTTAGAGGCAATACCAGCTATTCTAAAGCGGTAATCTTTTCGGATTCCCGCAGTGTTCCGAAGGCAATTGCCTCGCCTAGATTCATTAACAAAAATTATATAATTCACTGGATCAAACATATACTGATAAAAGTTCTATTCTATGACGTGGAGTAAAAAGAAGATCAAACTCGAAAACAGGCTCGAGCGTGGCTTTGGAAAACATAAGAAAATCGGAAAGATGCGATTTTAGTGCCGTGGTGGGAAAAGTTGGAAGTATGTAATATATGACACCGACGAGATACTATGGCTGCGTTCAGTGGACTCAACAGTTGAGTGAGCGCTCGCTGTTATTGGTGTATTCTTTTAGATCATCCAATCAGTATTTTAGAGTTGGAAGAATACATCGATAACGGCGAGCGTTCACTCAACTGTTGAATTGAACGCAACCTATTGAGGACCATTGACCCTGAACAAATTTTCGTGACTATCAAAGGGACCCGGAGATAATTGAAGAACGATAACGTTACCGACAATTAATAAAAATGTATGATTATTAACTGAAATATTTCGATAATACATTATTAAATTCATGATTTTTTATTATATAAATACTGTATAAATAAGTATGCATACTTTTAATGTTGCAATATTTTATATATTGCCGAAAAATTATAATTTTTTCTCTGCAGTTATCATTTTTATTGATAATTAAAATCGGACGATATCAAAATCACGGTTTTAAATAAAAATCGAGTATTATTAATTAGATTTAAACATATGTGCATATGTTTATGAAAGAAATAAATCACGAAATTAGTATTGTATTATTAGTTTTTTACTTTTAGACCCGATTATTCCACTTTTTGGTAAATTTTATCTGTTGGGTAAGGGCCGGTTTCACCAATGCCGATTGTGATTAACCGCAATTGGTCGATTCTACTAAACAGCGAACGCGATTGGTCAGTCAACGGTCGATTAAGCTAACTGGCGTTGATGAAACTAGCCATTAGGTGTCCTTACTGTTAAGGCCATCTCATCACACACAAAATGACATAAGTTGCATAACCATACATATGGCTGCTGAATCAATAAGCATCCAACATAAAGACGCCATTTTGATTTACATAAGATGTTCATTGATCTAGAAGACCAATAATATAATAACGTAATTGTGATTGAGTTGTAAGAATTGACCAATCACAGTCAAATATTCTTTTCACATTCGATTTGATTGGTCAATACTTACAACTACGCTTACGACTATTGTAAAATAGGCTTAAGAAATCCATTCCGTCATTTCGATTCCGTACATGTACATAGAATAGCACTCTTATAGCAAAAGTGTTGCCGCATTCTGTGTGCAGGAACAGAGAGAAACCTGAGAAGACATAGATGTTAATTACACAACAATATTCATATTTTTGCGGTGCTCCTGATGGAAATAGATAGTTGAAATCGCTAAAATAAATAAAATCTATTAAATTAATAAAAACTTCAACGATTTCAGCGATTTATTTCCATCAGGAGTACTGCAAAAAGGTGAATATTATTGGGTAGTTTATATCTACTTCTTCAGAGGGCGGTAGTGCGCAGCAGCATTTTGCGGTTACAGATTTTGGCCATCATGTCCTCTCTCAGATTTCTATGTATAGCTACCGGCTATAAAATTGATAACGCGATTTACAAAATCCATGATCTCGAAAAAAAAATAATTTTGATAGCAACTTAATATAAATACAGACTTGTTACTTAACATATTTTTTAGTTAAGTTTTATAAATATCTAAAATTATTTTATAAACATCTCAAAAAAAATATTTTTATATAATTTAATAAAATTATGTGTATAATTCTATATAATTTTATATATAATTATATACAATTGTATATAAAATATGTCCATTTATATACAATTATATAAAATTATATATAATTTTATACAATTATATATAAAATATTTTTTTTTCCGGAATTAGTAATAAGAAAAAAATAAATTTAATAAAATTTTGTAACTATTAAGCATAAACAATGATTATAGAAATAAATATTTAAACGCTCGTGATAACATCTTTTGCTGAAATACTAATTTGGAAAGTTATTAAAATACATGCAACAATGTTATACATTTATCTTCTTATGTGAATAATTACAATTAAGAACTATGGAGCTATATACACTGATGATAAGAGTATTCGGATACAGGTGCGGTTTTTTGCACATGCATAATAGATTTATTAGCAAACTATATTAACCTCCAAATAAATATAGATATTAACTGCGTTTAGAAAAAAAAGCAGCTTTGCAACTGTTGTAAAATTCTTCAAGATGATTCGTTTTTGCCATTATTTTTTTATGGATCTAAATATATAAATAAATTATATTGAAAAATTTTACAAGAATTTTACAACAATTGCAAAACTGTTTTCTCTGCTGAATATAGCTATTATGATTTTCTTTTTAACTTTAGCAAACAGACATTATTTTAATTTGTCATTATGTTGATATCAAATGACAACAAATAACATCAACTTGTTACTTGAGAATTCTTTCTTTTTCTTTCTTTACTTTAAATACAACAGACTATGCAAAAAAATCATAAAGTATGTTATAATCAAATTACTTCTATACATTTTTCAAATTATGTAGCAAATACAATTTAACTTGTAGAGGCCCTCCACCACCCCCATCGATTATAATCGATGGTCCTCTTTTTATTACTTCAGTAAGTTCACGTTATTTGTCGTAATTTTGATATCAAAACAATATTGAAGACATTTCAACGTCAAATGACGACAAATACCGTCGGCTACTTCAGTTTTCCATTTTTCTTTTTTTTTATTTTATTTTACTTTTAAACTAACATACTATACAAAAAAGTTATAAAATATGTTACACTCAAATTACGCATATACGTTTTTTATATAATTTGGTAAAAATAAGTTATTAGGTGTTGGAATTAATTCGTAGCGTTTTTTAATGAAAGAATGTTATTTATTTCACATGAGCATTAAAAAATACATTAATGAAAGTACTTCCCATCACTTGTAAAACGCTACGAATTAATTCCAACACCTAATACATAATTTATAGAGGCCCTCCACCACATTCCCTGCCATCCGATCAGCAGTCCTCTTTCCTTTACAATAAAATGGGATAATTTTTGTCCAAAATCAGAATAAATTTAGCTTAAATTTTGACAATACAGCACGCAACATCTAGACATATAATATCTTAAAAACGTAATCTTATTATAACGTAATCTTAAAGAATTGATCGAACTATTATCTTAAAGAAGTTTTAAGAGTCTTATTTCATAATTTTGAGCATATTGTATATGTACTTTTATAATTTGTTTCTGGAACGAAAGCTTTTATTCTGTAACTTTTAATGACAGTATCGATGTTGTTACATTGTCGTTGCATAGTTTTTTCATGTATGAAATCTGCTCAATGATGACAGTATATAATGATATTTACGGTTACTATCGTAATTGTAAAAATTATAAAATAGGAGCTAAAGTTACCCCATTTTATGGTATATTTCTTTACATTTTTATTACTTACATTATTTTTTATACAATTTACTTTACATTATACATAACATATTACAAAAAAATTATATTATAAAACTGAAAATATTATATTATAATATACAATATGTATAATATACAATATGCAAAATTTCTTTTTAACATGAATTTACAGAGAAAATATTCGGTGTGCGTATAATAACACAAAATTCTCACGATCGTGATGTAAAATATGTGGTTACACGTCCAATCGACAAATAATTATTACTAGCATTTTTTATTAATTATCAAATACAACTGCAAAATTTGTTTTGCTTTTTTTTAATTTATGCGAGTAATTGTGAGCAACCAAAAAGATTGTTAATAAATTTATTATATATCTTTCAATAAAAAAGAATGTCAATTATTAACTATATATATATAACTCATACATTTTACAAAATACAAAAGAAATATGCAATATGCAAAAAAGTACGTAAAATTTCAATACAAGACAATGTGACGAATGATCTAATCAATTCCGATACATATAATTTTGAATTCTGCAACGCGTCTTCTATAATTATTATTTCTTTATATAATAATAAAAATGTTATTTAACAACTATTAAATGTGTTGCAATATCGCATCTATGATTCAAATAATATAATGGAATAAACCAAACAATTTAATCGCACGTATATAAATTTTATTTCTCGCTTTACTTTTAACAGAGAGATAACTTTATGAGTTTCTAAAAAATCGTGAAGAAACACTACGTTATCTCTGCGTTAAATAGAATAACTAGTTCAACAATGAGACCAGATCTTTCCAAGTAAGACGTTGGATAGTATCCGACAGAAAGAAGAATGATCTCCACGGAGAGCGAGCTGTCCTCTGCTTCTCATCAAGTTTCATGTCATCAACGCGAAAGTTAAGTGATTCATTGAACACTAAGAACTCCGTTGCAGGAGGAAACCAATTCCAAATTTTTCGGACTGTTCTTATAATAGCGCCCATATTGATAACAAATAAACAATTGTTACTCTTTTCTAAATTTTTACAAATAATGCAAATATTATGCAATTATCGAATACTTTAATGGTAACTTAGCCGATGTCAATCACAATTTTATAGTACATAAGATCAAGATTTGCACGCAAAAATATATTCTTTATATCATTACAAAATACAGTATTTTAACAAAATAAAAAAACATGGATAGAATAATGTTTATCGAAGGATAGTTACAAATGATTATATTTCGAAATAATAAAATACATACGTCATTATAATTTATTATATATGTGAGTACAAAAATTCTCAGGTACCAACTGTTCAAGGCGAATCGAACCGATAACAATAAGATTAAAATTTTATTCATTTTTTCATCTTATTTTGATCTTATAATCGAATACTATTAATATAAAATTTATATCAATCTTCTTTTTTCTGCAGCAGTTACTCAAATGTAGTCAAGTAATTAAATAGAATTATCTAAATAATTAATGTAATATTTAGATAATAAGAGCTATCAAAATCTTATTGATATTGGAGTACCCAATCGATTCATCTTGAATTTTTAAGTACGCACATTTTTAATTACGTCCATTATATTATTACAATAAATTATTTAAATAAACATGAATCTTTTTGATAAAATTTTATCAGATAAATAGAAGCTATAAATTTCTTGCATAATATATAGACTGCGTATGTATTTCATTATACAAATTAATCTAAAAATTTTTTAATTAATTAATGTTTTGGAATAAAGGGATGTCCAGTGCCTGAAAACAGTTTCTTAAAAGAAACTAAAGATTAAAATAAAAAAATATTAGGTGTTGGAATTAATTCGTAGCGTTTTTAATGAAAGAATGTTATTTATTTCACATGAGCATTAAAAAATACATTAATGAAAGTACTTCCCATCACTTGTAAAACGCTACGAATTAATTCCAACACCTAATATATTCATTTGTAACACATTTTTTTCTTAAAGAAATTGCGAAACCAACTTAATTTGTAATTTAATGTCATTCACTTATCT